TTTTTTTTTTTCCAGATGGGGAAAGGCAAGGAAGCAGTTAAGAAAAGTCAGAGATGTTGGTATTTCTGGTGTGTTGAAGGCTGTGATGGGAAGGGTTGCTTGATTGGAATTGCAGGTGGATTGGGTTGGAGAGAAATGAAAGTCGAATTAGGGAAGGAAAAAAAAAAAGGAAATTAAGGAGAAAACCTGTACTTATGTAAACCATTAGCTACAGATGAGTTGTCTCTCGGGTAATTGAAGTTAGGAGTTACAGCTTATAAACTGTTAGATTTATGGGGCAGCTTTACCAAAGTAATTTTGGGTTCTCTGTCCTAAGGTAACTTGTTTAAATGGCTGGTTAATAAGGTTTATCTGCCATTGTGAAAGTAGTAGAATGATGCTGCTTTTCTAACCAGCTCTAGTTTTAATTTATGCTCCAAGAATGATGGTGGTATCATTCTAGGTCTTGATCATTGGAGGAGGAGTTGCTGGTCTGGCTTCTGCGGGAGCAGCTAAATCAATGGGTGCAGTGGTTCGTGGATTTGATACTAGGTAGGTGTGTGAAAAGTTAATAGCAATCTGAAATTATTTTAACATTAGTTTGTATTACAGTGAATGCACTTGTGCTGTACCAAGTCACAGTTCCTTTCCTACCATTTTTATTCCATCATGATTTCTTCATTTTTTTATACCTCAAAGCAACCAAACCTTCCAAAGACGCCTTTTCATTAAATCATTCAGAACTATGTTGCTTTATGAAAATGAGGAATTTAGGGCTTTTATCCAGAATTTAATCTCTCTTCTTCTTGGGGACACCGGGAAAACAGTAAAGAAATAATCTCAGTGTCGTCATTTATAGCTTGCTTTGATCCAGGTTTATAGCTGTATATTTTCATCCACCTCTACTCTCCTGATCCCAGAGAGGCCAGCTGGGAGCTCTTTGGAGAGACATTTCTTTCAGTCTGCTGAAGGAGAGAAAGAAATTTAGTTGCTTTATTATGAAACTCAAGATGACAGAACAGAAACTGCAGCTGAAGCTGCTTTAAATGCTGCTTGCCTCTGGTCTCCTTATGTTTGGAAGGATTATTTTGTCCCATACACTGGAAAAATTAGAGAACACAAACATTTTTCTTATGGCTACAGGAACTGCAAACTTGATTACGCTTTTTTCTATTAAATGGCCTTCTTATTTTGAATTTGTATGTGCTTAATACTGTATTTGCATTAGAATTACTTCCATGTTTGTTTTTAGCATTAGTTAATGTTTACAGCATTAGTTAGCTGTATCTAATATGAAAGAATAAAAATGAATATAACTCCAGATTTATGATGTGCAATATGAAAAAAACTTCACTCTGGTTTGGTAGAAAATCTGCATATGCCTTAAAACAAATTGGAAAGAGTTTATTTTTCATAAAAGCATGATCAGAACCTGTCTGAAATTTTTTAGTTTTTTTTAGTTTTTTTTAGTTTTTTTAAATTCCCTTCTTAAGTATCCTGTGTACTTTTGTCTTGGTGTGCAAGAATGTTTGTGGTAAATCCTCTGCATGTTGTGAATGTTCACCTAACACTGAGATTTAGTCATGTTATTTACTGTGTTATCATGTGCTGCAAAATAAATTACAGATTTACAGGATAACTGGAAGAAAAAACCCCAGACATCACACCCCCACCCCAAACCAATTTTTCCCTTGAAAGTAAGACTTACTAGTATTTCCTGTTTCATCAGAGCCACAAGTTGTGTATTTATCACTTATATTAGGCATCTAAGTTTGGGCTGTAGATTAACCTAGTCATGACAAGAGAAATGGGTAAGCAGAGTTAGTCAGGAGTTAAGCTCCCAGCTCGTGAGACTTTTCTTGGAGCAACTCTACAGGAAACTGTAGGCTGCTGTAATTCCTTACCCAAGTATCTTCATTAGGGACCTAAGTTAGTGATACCATTACTTTTTTCACTAAATACAGAAAGTTGAGGACTTCAGTTATGTTCTCCTTTGTTCTGGAATAAGTTTTAGATCTCTTGTCTGAAGACTACTATTAAAAAGACCAGAAAAGTCATGGTGGTTTTTTTAAAGTAGTGGCTATTTCCTCCACTGCAATTTTCTTTTCTTAGAGCTGCAGCTCTGGAACAGTTCAAGTCTCTTGGTGCTGAGCCTTTGGAAGTAGACGTAAAGGAATCTGGAGAGGGACACGGTGGTTATGCTAAAGAAATGTCCAAGGAATTTATTGAAGCTGAAATGAAACTCTTCGCCAAGCAGTGCCAAGATGTTGATATTATCATCACTACAGCACTTATTCCAGGTATGTTTTATGTGCAAGATGGTAATTTTCATTTATTTTGTGTAAGTTGGCATATTTTGGAGCTGTGCCTGCAGTGAAAACAGAGGTGTTTATGAATTATATCTATGTGAATGTGTACGTTTTCCCTTCCCTGATAAACACCTGTTTTTAAAATGTGGGCCTTTTTTAACAGCTTTTGTTTTCACAAACTAGCAATCTTTGACTTAATATCGTAGAATCATAGGATGGTTTTGGTTGGAAGGACCTTAAAGATCATCGAGTTTCAACCCCCCTGCCATGGGCAGGGACACCTCCCACTAGACCAGGTTGCTCAAAGCCT